CGCACTACTGATATGCAATACCTGTTTGGCCAACGGAAAAAGAGATCAAGTAATCAGAAGCACAGCATCACATGACAAAAGTGAAAACATCAAAAAAATTGAAGAAGAAATTTCAAAACTAAGTAAAGTAGTAGCCGAAGTCTCGACAAAAATGGAAAATATTAAAGATCCCATCCAAAGCCTGCCAATAGCAGAACAGGGTAAAATCTGGTCACAAGTAGCGGCGCAAAACATAATCAAACCCCTGAGCAAAGGATTGAGAATAAGAGGGGTCCCCGAGATCAAGGAAAGAGATGGAAGAAAAAGACTTGACCATGACTATGATGAGGTAAATAAAATCATGAAATTCTTAAACCTCGAATGCAATATCACTGATCTCAAGCGTGTGGGAAAGTTCAGCGAAGAACGAGCAAACCACAGAACTATACTGGTACGAGTAACCTGTCCAAGAGAAATAGACTTGATACTATCATCAACACCGGCCCTCAAAAATTATGACAAAAATGTCTTCATAAGTAAGGAACTCTCAGTCGAAGAAATGAAATTGGAAAACGCCATCCTGAGAGAACGTAGAAATCTCATCAGCAGTGGTAAAAACCCCAAAAATCTTCGAATCAGAAACCTAGAACTGCATGAAAAAGTAGACGACACCTGGACAAAAGTTACAATTAAACCGGAGGAAAACAGCACAATTCAGACTAGAAATGACAACTGACTAGAATCGCTGAATGTTATGTCATTCAATACACGAAGTATACTGGATATAAATAGACGTATGAAACTTAGCAATATAATACTATCGAACGATTATGACATCATTTGCTTAAGCGAAACTTGGTTAACTGAAAATATCCCTGACAACGCGCTTTTTCTGCCTGCACACATAATAACTAGATGTGATAGACCTACCAACTCAACAAAATTGAAACACGGGGGCGTGCTCATTGCTGTTAAGCAATCCCTAGCTTTCACAAAACTTGAAATACACACTACGGACTGCGTTGGACTCCTCCTTAACACTCCGACACCTCTCATCCTATGCTGTATCTACAGTGCCCCGAACGAAAGCAAATATAAGCTATCCACAGATGACTTCAACAAACTATTGAATATGCTAACTGACTACTCAAATGAATTTCAATGCCCAATTATTTTATTGGTTGGTGACATCAACTTCGCTAATACGCATTGGCAAACCTTGCAATCAACCCAAAAACACGAACAATTAGTACTGCAGACTTTTACTGATATGAACTTTCAACAGTTTATCGAACCCCCTCATGACCAATTAGATATTGTCCTTTGCAACAACCCCGACATTATTTTAAACACCACGATAGACAACCATATGAAAAAACACTTCTCACACCAAGAAAGAGAATTATCAGACCACAACCCTTTTCTAATCACGATATCATCTCTTACACACAATGACGAAAAAGCCACTCCCATACAACACGGATCCGACTTTCTGGACTTTGGTGTCTTCTCATTAAACAACGTCGATTGGATTACTTTAAACAAATACATTTTGGAACACCCATTTCAACCGTTCATTCTACTCTAACATTGACCACTTAATCAACTCATGGTACCTCTGGCTATATATAGCACTAGAAAAACACATGAAAAAAGAGACCAAACACCGTATGAACCTAGCACCTTGGATCACACCTGAAACCTCCAATATTATCAAAAGACTCAACACAGCATCAAAAAAAGTAGCCTTTAAAAATACTCATACTTATAACCGCAATCTTGAAAGACTTAAAAACCTTGTAGATCATTTATCCGAATTAGATCAGAAAAATTTCGAAGAATCAACTTTCAAGGGCAGAAATTTCTCAAAGCTCCAAAAATACTTTAAAAGCATACGAAAAAACTCAAGTACTCCAAAAACAATGTACTGGAATGAAAAAACCGAATCAACAGAGCACGATAAAGCTAATCTTCTAAACAATTATTTCGTAAGCGTTTTTAACATTAAACAGAATGAAAACATTTTACCAATAGCTGAATTACCTGGCTCAATCAAATGCTTCAATTTCTCTGAAAATGAGATATACGACATCCTTAAAACATTAAACCTCCAAAAAGCAAGAGGACCAGATAGACTCGGTAACACAGTCCTAACCAATTTAGCAGATAGCATAACTTCATCTCTAAAACTGATTTATAACACCATCACCAACAAAGCAACATTTCCAACGATCTGGAAACTTAGCCAAATCATCCCAACTTTTAAAAGTGGAAACAAGCAATCGGTCACAAACTACAGGCCCATCAGCCTGCTAACTGCAGTATCCAAAGTCTTAGAGAAACTGATCTTCCTTAAAATCTCACCAAAGGTCTTCTCGCAAATCCATGACAGCCAATTTGGCTTCTGTCCTAAACGATCGACAACTCTGCAAATGCTCCAATTCCTCGACAAAATCTATGATGACTTCGATAACGCTAATATCAAGTCTCTACCGGCAAAATACTTAGACTTCGAAAAGGCTTTCGACAAAGTTCCTCACGACTTGTGCATATATAAACTCAATAAATTTGGCATATCAGGAAACGCACTTAAACTATTAGCAAACTACTTAACCAACAGAAAACAGCAAGTACGAATAGGTGCGGCAGTATCCAGCCATCTTGAAGTTAGTAGCGGCGTACCTCAAGGCTCACTGTTAGGGCCAGTATTCTTCATTACATTCATCAACGATTTACCGTCATCACTCACCAACTCGTGCTATAGTTACGCAGACGATGATAAAATTGTTGCAACGAACCCTTCCCTGCTCCAACATGACCTAATCACGATCAACTTATGGTGCAAAGATAATTCCATGAGTCTTAATTTGTAACAATATAATATTCAAAGACCCCCAACTTGGCCTAAACATGTATCTCGGTGACCATATACTTGAAAAAACCTGTTCAGAAAAAGACCTTGGTATACAAATAACCAACAACCTAAACTGGTCAGCACACACAAAAATAAGAGCCCAAAAAGCAATAGGCTGCTTATTTTTAATTAAAAGAAATATTTCAAAATCAGCGAGCTTAAAAATGAAACTGAACTCCTACTGTGGATATGTAACCCCAATTGTGTCATATGGCTCACCCATATGGAAAGCAAATAAGTGTGAATTAAAAATTATTGAAGATGTCCAAAGAAAAGCTACACGTTGGATACTGTCATGTAACAACATCAACTATAAAGACAGACTGATTAGATTAAACCTGCTTCCACTGTATCTCTACCACGAAATGCACGACATTCTCTTGCTTCATAAAATAATAAACGACCAATACAACTTCCATTGGAGACAATTTGTTCAGTTCAAAGAATCTACAGCCCCAACAAGAAGATCAACGAAAAATAGCTTAGCGCATAAAAATTATCATTACGAAAAATCGAAAAGCAATTTCTGGCACAGAACACCTATACTAGCAAACAAAATTTTACAGACTCAGGAAGAAGAAGACCTGTTTGCGATGAAATACGAAAGACTCAAATCAAGCCTCAAAAACGTTTTCTGGATATATTTCATCAGTAAATATGAGGAAAGTGTCCCATGCACATGGAGAATAAACTGCTGCAATAGCTGTGTAAACTCAAAGAAACTATAAAACTCAGTTTAAAACTCCCAACGCGGGGCATTTTAGCCCCATGGCTTGATGTCTAAATCCTTGTTTATTATTATTTTTATTATTCATGCACCTGGCCATCCATTCATTTAGTCATCTCTCAATTCCGTCATCCATAATCAGCAAGCCATCAAATTCATCTAGCAATCCATCCAGCCATCAACTCATCTAGCCACCCAGCCAGTCATATCTAGTCTTTCAACCAACCAGTTGTCCTTGTTGCCTTTCAACCAACCATCACTCAAGAGATCCTTCTCTCCAACCCCTGTCATTTTAAACGCTGTCAGAGATAATCGCTGTCAGTTTTCAGGAGAAAATTTAGCTGTAGAGGGCATGCTAGTGTTTCTCAAGGGAGTAATCCCGGGACGAATCTTTAATAGATACATACATCTAAACAGCCTTCAAATTTATCATTTTTCATGACTTTTTGACAAAATGTTTGAATTGAAGTCCCTTTCTGCTTGATGTGTAGCACCCGGAGTCTTAAGATTAGTGCCGTGCAGTTTTCCAAGTTTTCTCAAACTATGGTTGTCTGAGCTTTTAACTTCGATTTACTGTTCATTTGAAATAAATATCAAATTATTGTTAATACCAGATTGTTGGCAATTGCTTTTAGGTCAACGAATCTGAGCAAAGTTAATCAACCCTAAACTGATCATTTTGATGCGGGAAGTATTATTATTTTCGCCGACCCCAGCACAGAAATTTTTTTGAACAAGCTTTGTAAGAACCTTAGCATATGCACTGAGGAACCCAGAACAGGCAGCTTTTTAAAACAGAGAATCTCGCTGGCAATACAGATTGCGAACGCCGCTTGCGTACTCGGAACAATAAATGACAAAATAACTTTCGACGAAATTTTTTATTTGTAACACTTGTATTTTATATTTTCTCGTGTCGAGTTGCGTGTTCTTATTGAAGAAACGTAACCCGTATCGATTTTAATGGAAAAAGACTTCAACACTTGTCATCTTCTTTTATCATTATCACTTCCATATCTAGAAAATTCCAAGGATTTTGACTGGAATACGTGATGAAGGGACTCCTGACTGTAATTCGGTTACTATGATACTTTTGACCTTCTGATTACCCGTTAAAAAATATATTTTCATCTACATTCGTAAAAACTGAGTTCAAAGAAAAAATTAACCGAAAATGACATAGATTTTGATCGATTTAATTCATTTGGCATCAGCTACAAAAAATAAACATGTTTTGCATGACTCTTGATGTAAAATTTTACCTCTAGGTGCAAAGTTTCGTTGATATTCATTTTTACTTTTTTTCTTTTTTTTGTACCTTACTTATGTGCGTTGCAAAAAAAATATCTGAGGCATTTTAATTGATAGTAACTAGTTAGCCTTGATTTTAATTTTATATATTTTCAGAATGGCGTCCTTCCAAGTAGTTAATGTGTATGTTACGGGCAATACGAATAGCGGGGAAAATCAAATTTCACGACAGGACATGTTGGTATGGTTTAACGAATGTCTAAAACTACAGATTCGCGATATCGTTGAACTCGGCAAAGGATTTCATTATTGTCAAATGGTCAATGTGCTATTCCCAACAGTTAATGCTGTCCACCTGAAGCACGTGAAGTTTGGTGCTAAATCTGAACATGAATTCACAGAAAACTGGAAGAAGCTTCAAAATGGGTTCAAGAAGCTGAATATTGACAAAGTTATTCCTATTGAACGTCTAATAAAGCTTAAAATGATGGATAACATGGAATTCGCGCAGTGGTTCAAAAAGTTTTTTGACGCAAATGCAGGTTAGATCTGGCGCTCAGAATCAATGCAGCACGTGTTTACCAAAAATCCGATTTTTTTACGCTTGCGATTAGCAAGCGTTATTTAATCGGAATTTATACTTTTTCGGATTATCAACTTGATAAAAAATGACTTGTATCGTCAGATTGTGTTATCCCTCCCCTGGCGTGGCAATGATAGTGTGGGAGGCCGAGCTCTCAGTTGGCCTTCAGGTCTACCACAGCCTGGCCGATTTCGGCTGCAATAGTAGTACCACGTGAAAGTTCTAGACGCTTAAAAACTGACCTTAGTCGCAAAAAAAGAGCTTCGCTCAACAAAATAACTGTCTGGAATGCGGGGAAATAAGAAAAACTGACTATGCTTAGACAAGCTGCAAAGCTTTTCATGGATCCTCTGGGAATCGCAGAAACGAAAATTTTTATTGAATTCAAATTTAAATGCATGTTCGGCATTTAGCTTGGAATGGAGGTGAAGAATAAGCCTGGGACGGCAAAGTTGGGTTCGAATCTGACCTGGAACTGTTTTTTTTAAACTAGAAAAATTCCTTTCCAAAAAATGTCGGCCGATATTTTGCCTGATTATGTTTTTTCAGTTTAGTTGCCACATGGTGAATTGATTTTTATTTGTACTCAATGAAGTTGCTTTTGTTGTTTTGAATAACTCCTGCTATTTTTAATTATACTAGCCTTGACTTCGTATATTTTGATTTTTCTTTTCGCTTAAAAACTATTCGGCTTAAATGTTTTCGGCTTATATTTTGACTTAGTGACCTAATTTGGGGTCAGTTCAAAGGAAGCATGGGTTTTATGCTTCATTCAGGATAGCGCTAAATGCTAAAGTTCCTAGAATAGAGTTTGGAGTTCGACGTTTTTCATGACAATAATTATGTTTTTAGTTTTACGGGAAATTATTTAGGTTTCTTCGCCTTGTTGCCTTGAAATATAAAATAGTTCTAGACATCATTTTGAATTTTCATAAGTTAACGTTTTTTCATTTTTTTTTGGAGTGTGGCTTTCTTTTCCTGTCTGCTAGCTTGCGCTGCTATTTGTATGTTGTATCGCAAGTGGTGCGAAGCGGTTGAGACAAATGGCGCGAAGTTGTTCAGACAACGATGATCCGGCGTTAAAATTTGATGTGTAAACTGAAGTTAATTGTCGAGCTATCGTTGGTTCGCTTATTGTTTGTCGGCGTAGCCTGCTCAAATCGGGCTCTTCTTCTGATTCAAGCAATATTTACGATTTTTGAAAATCCTGATATGTTAGGTAAACTATTTATGTTCACACAATGAATCAGATGGAGAGTTGATATTTTCCATGATTAACTTTCGTAATCTATCTATCTCGCGGGCTTCACTATCTCGCCATGTTTAAGCTTTTTTAACGCTTTATTTTTGCATGTTTTACGAAAGAATTTTTTCACATTGAAGCTATATCGTACATTGCAATGGTTAAGAATTTTTTCAATTTTCCATTTTGATGTCAAGGATTATTTCATCGGCTTTGATATTAGCAACCCTATGATGAGATGCTATAAGGATTCCCCAGGCGTTGCGAACTTGGCCTCCAAATATGAATAACCAAATCTTTTTAGTTAACGAGATACGGCAATTTTCGAGATTTTCAAAAATATCTAAAAAATTTGAATTTGAAAAATTTCACAAAATTTGATATTCTCAACTCTGGACGCTTTCAGAGGGTACTCTCAGGAAGTTTTCGAGAAATGACATTTTTTATGGTTTTTCAGAAATTAAAAAAAAAAAAACTTAGATTTAAAAAAATTCAAAAATTTTGAAGATCTCCATCCTGTAATTGAAAACGCTGAAGGTACTCTCGGGGTTGCAATTTTTGCCTCTAAATATGACTGCTCAAATCCTTGAAGTTTTCGAGATGACAATTTTTTGTGATTTTTTCAAAAAAAAATTCAAGAAAACAAATTTAGTTTTTTTCTTCAAAGTTCAAAATGCCCTTTTTTGTAGTGGGGGTTCTCAGAGTACTCTCAGGGTCTCAGGTGTCGCTAATCTTGCCTCCAAATATGACTGATCAGTTCTTTGTAGTTTTCGAGATATGACATGTTTTATGATTTCTTTTTAATTTTTCAGAAAACTTGCTTTTTAACAAAATTCACAAAATTTTGAAATTTTCAACCTTGATTTTTCGTACTGCGAAGGTGCTCTCACGAGCTGCAAGTTGCAAATCTCAGTCCAAATGAGACTGCTGAAATGCTCTTAGTTTCCAAGATGTGACGTTGGTTATGTCTTCTTTTTCAATTGGTCAAAACTTAGTTATAAATAATTTTACAAAATTTAAGTTTACATCTATATTGAATTGTACTCCATTGTACTTTCAGGAGGTGCAAATTTTGATTCGAAGTTTGACTAAATTTTGATTGTAGTTATCCAGATTTTACGTTTTTTGTGATTTTTTCAAATTTTTTTTAAGTCTGAAGTTTCTCAAAGTTTGAAATTCCAACGCTGTAGTTGGGTACTGTGAGAGCACTTTCATGAGTTGCAATTTTTGCATTCCAATGGGATTGCTCATGTGCTTTTATTTTCCGAGACGTGACGTACTTGATGTCATTTTTAAGTGTTTTAAAGAACTTCACAGAATTTTGTGGTTTTTCAAAATTTAAGTAAAAAAAATGAATAATTTTTTAAACCAAGTTTGAAATTACCATTTCTGTAATTAGGTGCTGTCAGATAACACTCAAAGGATGAAGTGTTTTTTCCAGTTTCTGCGAATTTTTTTAGTTTGTTGAAAAGTCGAAGCACTGGAGGTGTGTTACTTCGCTAGTTTAACTGAAAACAAGTCAGTGTGGTATTATCCAATTCGAGGTTTCAAGCCATGAAGTTTGTGTTACGTTCAAAGTTCAAGAAGAATGTCAAAAGCTTGGTATTAACTCCCAAGTCTTGATTCATTTAAAAGTTCGAAGTCAAAAATGTTTTCTTTTCATGTAAAGTTCAAAAAGATAATCAGAACGGTGGTGTCAGCTCATAATTCATTTTAAATTTCTCCAAGAAGAAAGCTTTTGTTGAGCTTATATAAAGAAACGCCTTACTTTCAATTGAAAACAAGTAATATAATGTATTGTTATTAGTTAATGCATCAACACAATCGATCAGTTATTTCGCCTATAAATTTAACTAAAACTGCCGAATCTACAGCGAATAGTTCAATAAAAAATTAACACTTTTGAACAAATTGCTAAATCTTTGAATATACATGATAAACAACAGTGTGCTTGAATACAAAAGTAGCAAGAGTGGTTGTGTTCGGATGGGTGGTTTTTCCGGGATCACAAGTGACTTCCAGTGGTGTTTGTCATCTGAGTTCCAGCAAAACCTGACTTTCCGAAATTTTCCAGAAGGCTCGTCGACTCCAGTTGTTGTCAAACTCATCAGATGAGTAAGCATCTTGAAGCGCCGAGGGAAAGTTTTCATTGCACTTTTTACTTGGTATTTCTTCCTCAGTTCTGATGACACAAACTTTTTCACAAATTTCACGAGGTGAGTCGCCTTTTTTCTTAAAAAGTCCTATTCAACGGCAAAAACTGCTTCAGATGACGCTTCATCTACCTCTCTGGTACCTTTGACGGAATCTTCACGAGGAAATGCTCGAAAATCCGCTTCTTTCTCGACTTAAGTTTCTCTGGCTCCAGTTTTATTAAGTTTTCTTCGAGCTGTCTAAATGAAGCTAGTTGATTTATTTCACAGCTGAAATTGATCATTTCATAATCGGCAAATTATTTGATTAAGTGATGAAGATATGACTAAGTGTTTGAAATGAAGATATGAACCACTCGTTGTCGAGGATGATGATCCGGATGAAGAGGATGACAAAATTGTTCGCTGCACTTTTTTGCGATGTACATACGTATGATCACCTTATTAGTAGTATCTGAAGGTGTTTGGGCGCGTTTCGGGGCCTCGGGTGTTCTGTAGAGGAGCTTGTTGCAGTTTTTGCCTCTATCTAGGTTTTCTACCAAGTGTGGGTCAAATCAACCGGGAAATATTTCTCCGTCTTATCTCTGACAGACAGTACTAGAAATCTGCGGGGCTTAGGGGCCGGGGTTAAGCATGGTAGTATCGTGCTTCCAAATCGTGCCATACTTCTTTTTGTCTTGAAGTCCTAGGTCAGCTTTGATATTGCGCTGGAGTTCTGCGTCTTTATAGCTCGCAATGTTCAGAGTTCAAGTTACCAGCAGATGTCAATAAACGTGGTCAAATTTCTCGTTTAAAATTTTTGAAGGCCTAAATGTGGCTCTTTTTTAGGAAGTAATAGTATTTTTCAAGTCTCAGATTTGACACTTTATCAAAATGGAACAGATTAGGATAGTGAGCAAAATTGTATCAGTATCAAGTCAGTCCCTCAATTAAACCGGGACCTGTTGTTTTCCCTAAATCTATTTTTCGATACAGATTTGCAAAACTCATGTACATCATGCCAAGATCCTAACTCCAGTCCAACAAACTTTGTCTTTTCAAAGAAAACATAGAGTGAAAGTTCAATTCGAAGGGCGCAACTACAAGTCAAGGTCAGAAAGAAAAAATACCTCAATACCTCTATTAGACGAAAAAAAAATTTTACAAAAATGTTTCCACTGAGTTGCAGCTTAATCGATTTCGGCTCTAACTATGTCGGCTTATTTACGTTCATTAAATATCCGGTAAAACTTTTAGGGCTTTATTCGGTCTTCTCTGTGTTTTGGACCGTAAAACAAGACCCAAAAGTCATTGAGCATTGACACTCAACTAAACTGAGCACTGCATAACAAACTTGAAAATTGCTCGGTGGGTAACATAAATTTTGATATAGCTAATAATTTCATATAATCATATCTAATAATTTGGCCCAAACGAAATGCGAACAACAAATTTGTCCAATATCGGAAAGTGTATAATTTCGGGGGCGTTTCCTACAGCCGATTAAGAAAATCGAGAGTATTTCTGCTAAGCCAAGACAGAAAAGTTAAATGTTGTGTCCAAGAATTCAAAGCAATTTTTCCGTTTAAAAAACTCATTGTAGTCGAAGATTGCTATTTATATTGGTTGTTATTTTTCGAACTCAGGTTTTAAAATAATTTTCCGTTTTTTATTCGGCTGTTAAAGAATCGGCCTTATCTTGCTTCGTTTGATCAGCGAAAAAACTTTTTGCTTGATAAATTCTCTGCTGCTAACTTGATGTTCAATTATCTTGGCTTATTTTCGAAATTTGTTTTGTTCAGTGCATCTCGAATGAATTTTTTGAAAATTCGTTTGGTCTATTTTTTTCACCTTTTTCTGCTTTCTTGACTTTGCTGTTTCCGTATCTTTTTCTGCCGGCTAGTTTGCTATTCCATGTTTCATTGGATTGCAATTGGCGGGAAGCTTATTTTTGTTGTTTCATTTTTTGTTTTTGTTTCATTTTGTTGATGCCAGGGTATCAGTGCCATCAGGTCGAAGCGTGAGCTGTCAGAGCCATATCAGCACGAATAACCAAATAGCTGTGTCAAAAATGCTTCCACTGACTTTTTCACGATGAACTAATAATTGCGCTAATTCATTAAAATCTTGTTGCACCGTTAGATTTTCGCAAGCAATATGAGCAGCTTTCTGAAATATTTGTGTTGTTTGGATAATATTTTTTAGAATTAGTATTTTCGAAACAACGTGTTTGTAAGTTCGTTATATAAAGATACGCTTCATCATACAGTCTTTCTATGGAGTTCTTTGCAGGAATATTATGGATTTGATGGCAACTGCTATAACTGGTTTAACAGCTATTTATCAGAAAAGCTAAAGTTTGTTAAAATAAACAATAATGCGTCTGATTGGCTTTTAGTTAGTCCGCTGCACATAAATTTTCTCTTTTTTGCAATGTATTACTCTCCTTTTAATAGGAAGTCATATTTGTTAATGATCAACTGCCTTAGTTTTTTGCAGACGCTGTGAATTTTATTGTTTTCCGTTTTTCCTTTCAAATTCTTGTAAAATCGACATTCTAGAAAAAGAACAAAGATTTGCTACCTTTTTCCCTTTTTTAATTTTAAAACTGTTTTGAGACGCTACCTTACACAAATTAGTGTGTCCAACTGAATTCTTTTCGTCTGTTTTTCAGTTTCAGTTAAAGTTACAGTTCTGATTTTCCGGGTCTTTCCATTTCAGTTACAGTTACAGTTTTTACAGTTTTTTTCTTTCAGTTTCAGTTACAGTTTCAGTTGAAGCTTTCAGTTGGAAAAATTGAATCAAACAACATGTTGAATTTGAAAACAAAACTTACAAAGAAACAAAAACTTAACGAGTTCAATCAAAAGTCAAGTCATTCAATCAAGTCACGGTTGACCACCTCACCGTAGAAAGAGCCTCCATATGACTTCCGAGTCCAGCAGTCAAGTTGCACCTTAAAGACAGAATTTTAAGAACAGAAAAAAATTTTTTTTCAGGGTGGTGAAATTTTAGAAAACAAAAACTCAAAAACATGCGATAGCTCTTGCCTGTATGACTGGTAGCAGACCAGTTTCTGTAGACGGCGTTGTGAGAAGCTGCCTGATCTTTTCTTCAACACTGAGAGCTTGCTTCGAAATGTTGTTGCACAGAGTCTGCTTGCTCGGCACAGAAAACTTTCCTCCACTGACATACTTGATGATAGCATCAAATCCGTATTTCTTGTCAGCAATCATATTCGCACTTGCTCTTGGGCATGCAGCAACATAAGTCGCTAGCAATTCATTCAGACGTCGCTGGCGGTAGTCGCTTGCTGGGAGCGGAGTAGTTGCTGATCTTGAGCTGCTCCCTGCAATGTTGACGAAGCTCTCCATGGTTGTGACTTTCCGTGATTGAGAGTCTGTTTTCGCCTTCTTTTCTGCTGTTTCTTTGACTTCGAGTTGCTTTTGCCATTCAGGGTGCTTCTTTTTGAGGTGCAGTTTGAGGTTGGTAGGACCATGCTTCACCAGACTTGTGAACTCGCAGTCGTCGTCCGTACATCTGTACGCTGTCTTGCTCTCATCTATAACAAAGTATTGATGCACCGGGTTGCTACGCTTGCGACCAGTTGTTGTTGCTGCCATCTCGATCTGGAAACGTATGAATTGCGTCAAGTATTTATACTAAGCTATCTGCAACTGAAACTGCAACTGTAACTGTAACTGAAACTCTAACTGAAACAAGGACCGGAGTTGGTTTCAGTTACAGTTTCAGTTACAGTTCAAAACATCCGGCTGTTTCAGTTTCAGTTACAGTTTCAGTTGATCAAAACCATTTCAGTTGTGCAGTAACAGTTTCAGTTACAGTTTTCAATTCAGTTACAGTTGGACACACTAACACAATTGCAAGACTGCGAATTCAAACCTAAAATTATGAAGTCTTAGAACCTTCAGGTTTTAGAAAAGTCACGATTTTTCTGAAATATGGGAAAATCGAACTAAATTAGAAAAGATTCAATGGTTATTATTCTGGAGCATCATGGTCATATGTGACCGAAGACACCATTTGATTTTAGAAATCCAGCGGCATGATTTGAACCCATCAATTTTTTTCAGTTTTTCTAAGAAATTCCGACATGCTTTTCTATGATTATTTGAAAAACAAAATTATCTAGTCTCCAATCTCTTCCCTTGTTATGATTAGCTAAATGCTTTCTTCGTGCCCTTGAAAGTTTTTTTGCTATAAAATGTGTGTGCTATCTTCACTTTGTTTCTCATGCGATGAATGATAAAAACTGTTTTGTAATTTTTTTGAAGAAAAATACACTTAATCATTGTTTATTAGATTTAAAATTATCCAGGGTGGACAATTTTTAGGCATAGAACATGCCGTTTGTCTATCCCGTCCACTTTGAAATTTTATAATAATTGATGCGAATTGTGTAAAATTTGATTGCATTTCGGAGAAATATGTTTTTTTTCTTTCGTTGAGTTTTGATGTTGTTTTTAGGCATCGACGATTGCTTCGGCCAGTATGACCCCGAAGGAGAAAGGGCACGAGTGGGAGCGGTGGTGCCTGGTGGTCCACCAGGTAAAGCTGTGACAGCACCTAGGAGAACAGTACCGACAACAACTACAACCAGAGCAGGAGGTGGAGTGAAACCACCTGGAGCTCCCACGCCACCGAAAGCCGCCACAGGTGTTGTTGCTCCTCGAAAACCAATCGGTGCTCAGAATGGTGCGGCAGCATCTAACGTAAACCCAGCTGCCACAAGAAAAGTGCAGCCAACAGGTGTGTCACAAGTACAGCAACAGATGAAAGGAAGTAGAATTAGTGGAGACCAAGAAGCAAGCTCAGCAGCAGACCAACATTTGATTCAAGATTTGAGGACACAACTGGACGAGGCAAATGTGCAGATCGAAAGCACAGCTGCAGTGATTGAGGGATTGGAAAGGGAACGTGACTTCTACTTCAGCAAGTTGAGAGACATCGAGATCATCGCACAGGAACACGAGGACAGTGGACAATTACCCGATGAGAATGTTCTTAAGAGGATCAAAGATATTCTGTATGCCACTGAAGACGGATTCATTGCGCCTGAAGATGAAGAGGGCCTTCCAGATGAGAACTTGTCTCAAGAAGAGCTTGTGGATATAAATGATAACGTGCACGATGATGACGAGACGTATTGATAAACTTAAGGTGATAAATTGATGTGCATTTAATATGTTGGAGTTCTCGGACTCTTTAAATAAAAGTGAGTTGAAAATATGTACCATAAATTGTTGAATGACATGAGATGTATGTAATGTTCCTGTTATGTTGGAAGGAGTTCTCTGCCATACGGCTTGTTGGCGCTATTTTGAAATTTATTTAGTATTTCACTTAAATCAACTTGCAACTTGGAGACATATCGATGCATGACTGCAGAAAAATCAGTAACCAAAAGATAGAATACTGGAATTATTGTTTTTGGAGTGAACTGATATGTTTTCACTTAGGAAATGTGACCTAATTCAGTGATTTCTTTGGGAAATCGTGTAACTAATTTTTGTATTATTAATTGCTTGATGATGGAATTGAACCAGCTAATCGCAGAATATTTAGTTTTGTACTAGATAATGCATTTTTAATGGAAGAGTTTAGTTCGTCGAGGTCGAAAAATGAAGCGATTGAATCGCCAAAAATAGAGACAAAAGCAGATTATTTTATAGCCTAGTTTAGGAGAAGTTGTCTGAAGTGAAAGCGAACGAATTGATTAAAAGTTAATCAGCAAAATGGTTTATGCGCTGCTGGGTAGACCGGTCTAATTAAGAGTAATGAACGTAGTTAAAACTCTTATATAGGTCTTGCTATTTTTTTGTTTTAGGAAAATTCTTAAAAGTCTCTAATAACTACAGATGTGCATTCATGCATATGATGCATTTATGAATGCACATAGGTATATATGCACTTTCTGAGTTCAAATGAAATTCATCTGCTGAAAATGACGTAATCTGTGATCCGTGCGTTTTAAGGCAAGTAATGCGAAGCTCCGCTTCACCTCTGTGTAAATTTAACATCCATTAGCGTGAAATTTAAAGGGTGCATTTGAAAATATAGAGCTCATAAAATAGTATTAAAAATGGCTTTTGGGAATCAAGTGGATTTAGAACAGTCGGCCACCTCTGCCACCCTATTCAATTTTATAATTTTCAGTTTTGCTGTTAAAAAAACTTGAGAACCAGTGAATTGGATAGTGTATAAATTAAAGCATTTTCAGATTTGAAGATGGGCGATATTAAACCGGAAGAAATAGTGCCGACCCCAGCACCATTGCGTCTGTTTAATAGCATCGGAGTGAAATACCAGTACTATCTGGACAAAGCAGTACCCTACACGACGGCAAGATGGGCCACCTTCTTTGTCTGCTTTGGGCTTTATGTCCTCAGAGTTTACTTAGTGCAGGGGTTCCACATTATCAGTTACGGTCTGGCTATTTACTACCTTAACTTGTTCTTAATGTTTCTCACGCCCAAAATTGATCCCGCCTTTGCTGAAATGAGCGAAGATGACGGCATGTCTCTTCCGACTAAAAGCTCAAATGCAGAGTTTAGACCATTTATCCGACGACTTCCAGAGTTCAAATTCTGGCATCTGTCAACACGAGCAGTCATCATAGCCACTTTCATAACCTTTTTCCAGGTTTTCAATGTGCCAGTGTTCTGGCCTATTTTAGTCATGTATTTCATCATACTGTTTTGCCTGACGATGAAGAGGCAAATTAAACATATGATCAAGTATAGATACATACCACTAACTCATGGAAAGAAAAAATACGCAGCTAGTAAAGAAACGTCTTCGGGTGCCAACTGAATTTTCCTAATTGTGAACTTCGAATTAATTTTGACTGTACTAAGATTCTAAGTTTGTGTAGATGTCTATATTAACTATAATGTCAGCGCAGTTTTCTCGAACTTACTGGATATTTTTTTTCTGACTGCCCTTTGTATAGGTTTGCTCATTCGCTCAAATCATCAATTAATGAATTTTAGTTCAGTAAAAATCCACGTGTTTATACTGTCCCATCTTAAAGAGTCCTAAATACGGGCAGGGTAAGTCTGTAAAATGGAGGGGCTCTGTTTCAAAAGAAGAATGTCAGTAACAAATTTCTTCGTCCTGAGAGTCTCTGTGGCCATTGGCAGCTAATTGCTTGAATTAAAAAATGCTTCAACTGAAAGGTTTTCTATATGATAAAGTGTGTCTTGATTAAATATTTATTTTTAATTAGTGATATAATTGACGGAAAACTAACAATTAACAAATTGTGACAAAGATGTTTTAAGATGGGACACTAGAGTACTTTGATATTGTAATATTCATGCTTAGCTTGGTGCTTATTTCTGTCATAAGTTTTCTCATTCGAATTGCTAAAAGGAGTTACGGATCTAGTTAGCAATTCCACCGAATTCTTCCAAGGAATATCTTCCTTCATAGTTCGAAATCTAATTGCTAGAAATGAATTTACTTCGGTTGCAATTAGAGTTATGAACTTGATCCGTGGTAATAAACATCTCCTACTAGCGCTATCATATTTTGATGCAATCCATGGCATGTGACACCAACGTTTTTTTTGTTACCGGCGGAAATTTTCATGGTATTGGAAACCATTATCAGCAGCTATTTTTGCTTAGCTTTGTCTCCTTTCTTACGCTCATTCTGGCGTTCAAACTTTTTACTATTGTGTTTTGGTTATTTTTAGTAACACTGCTGAAACCGAATAGTACCAATATCTGTATAAATATTATATCAATTGAAACTTTCATTTGAATTCAATTTATCAAACAATCAATTTTTTGCTAAAATGAAGGATTGGTTTTTGTACTGCGTGAAAGGATTGTGGCTCAAAGTTCAGTCAATGCTCTGGATTTTCATGCGTCATACGCCATGCCCAGATCCACATGTGGCATTAATAATTGCGATTCAATGGAACATCAAGTATTTCAGCGAAAGAGCGATACTCAAAGGAAAGTCAAAATAACGAAGGTGCACACAAAATTGTGGAATAAAATTTAAAAAAGTTTACTCGTATCAGGTTGAAGGCTAGAATGTCCCGACTACCCTTTAACGTCTATGAAAAAGTTATAGATTTCCAAAAAAAAAGATTAAATCTCAAAAATGAAAACATTGTTTTTGAAATTTTCCTCCAGCTGCTATGTTAAGTACGAAGTGTTGTACTTAGTGTCGGATAAGGTACAGTGCTGATTTAGGTTGTCCGGACGAAAAGCATAAAACTTGAAATTTAAATTGCGTTTTTCTCAACTTGGGTTCACATTAGCTGAAAAATGATTTTGGCGACACTTGCTTTAAAATTTTATTAGAATCAATGTGGCAATTACTTTTGCGAAACTAGGAGCCACTACCGGGTCAGTTTTTAGCATAACTATGTCAAACGAGGCTCTTACGTAGCCAAATAAAGGTTATTAAATGTACATTTTCCAAAAAAAATGGTATGAAATAACTTACTTTTATTTGATAGCCAAAATTTGTCATTTTTACAATTTAAAAGTCTATTTTTATTTAAAAACAATTTTCAAACGTTTCGCGCAATCTTTGAGAATATTTATTTGTTAAACTTTGTTTGGCTAAAATTGTTAAAGAATTAATGTGGCAATTTTTTTTGCGAAATTAGGAGCCACTACCGGGTAAGTTTCTAGCATAACTATGTCAAGCGAGGCTCTTGCGTAGCCAAATAAAGGTTATTAAAAGTACATTTTCCAAAAAGTGGTATGATATAACTTACTTTTATTTGATAGCCAAAATTTGTCATTTTTACTATGTAAAACGTCTATTTTTATTTAAAAACAATCTTCAAACGTTTCGCGCAATTTTGGAGAATATACATTTAAACTTTTGTTTGACTAAATGAGAGGCTGACTTTGAAATAGTTTTTGAAGTTATTGCCCTGGTAGTTTCAGCGTAATGTTTGGTTGACTTAAAAAGCCTAATATGATCCGTTTTCTTTGGGTGAAAATTTTGGGCCCCACTTAGCAAAACAGATAGCATTATGATAATTTTCTGCTAAAGTTTTACGCTAGTTTTATAATCATCGTTTTCACCTAATGTATATTCAATCGGAGAAAAAAGAGTTTTGAATTTAAGTTGTGTGCTTTTCGTCCGGATAATTCAAATCAGCACTGTGTTACTAAGATCTGATAGCTGGCATTAATTTAACTTAGAACAATTTCTGAGCTGCATGAGTTGCCGCCTACGCATTTTTAGCACGAATTATTGCGCGGTAATGATCCCAAATTGGTAGTTTTCAAACCATCCTGAAATTGAATTTCATTGTAGATACTAGTGTTGTTGATTTACTCCTATAATTTGCAAGTTTATTAGCCCTGACATTGTATATTTACTTTGTTTTTTTTTTCGCTTAGAAAGTTTTATTTGGCTGATGTGGTTTCAGCTTTTGTGTTATCGGATTAGTCGTTTTTTGGGTCGTTGAAGAGAAAAAATTGATATTTGTTTGTAAGACTTAATAAAGGTCGTTTCTGGTGTAGAAATTTGAAGTTTTTCAATCTTTATCGTTCGAAAATTTTTTGTGATAAAAATTTCATATGGTATTTTGTTATTATTAGCTCGTGTGCGTTTTTTTTGTGTGTTTTGTGTGGAGGAAGACTCGAAAAATGTTTGATAGTTTTTATGAACTTTTTTTTGGCTTAATGTGTTTATGCTCAGGTATTTTCGGCTTTGTTGCCGCTTGTTAGGCTTTCCTCTAATGCTAATTTCATATTCTATTTTATTGGCATCTTTTTTTGAAACTAGATTGATTCATTATTCATTTTGATAGGTTTAGTTTTTTTCGAATTAGCTCCGTTTCGCCCCTGTGTTAATTTTCAAATTAAAGCTGGCATTATTGCTCTCTTTGGGCATGTTTAATAAGATGATTCATGGCGATGGCGTTGAGGAGTTTTGTAGACACTGTTATATTTTAGTAGAAAAACCCAAAATTGCAAAAAATTTAGTTCAGTTTTTATTTTTCAATTTAAACCTTAGTTGCATTAGAATCAACAGTTACGATGCTTCGGATTATTTTTTTGAATTTTTTTTTTGTTTTACTAGCTTAGGTCGTAGTAGGGTTTTTGTAATGTACGAAATGATGCGCAATATTCATGCTTTTTTCTATGATGCTCAGCGCGTAAACTTCTCAAAAAAGCCAAATTTTAGTCCTCAAATGATTTTTCAAATTGAAATGAGGCATGCTAATTAGTCTCAATATTTTCTCTACTAGACCCAATGTATATATTGTTGGTACTTGCTTTTTTTATACTTGCGAGAGCAAGTGCCTTAATGTTAAATTTGGTTTTCTGATAAAATATATTCAGTTTTTTTTTGGTTGAACTGTTCAGGTTTTTGGATAAAGTATATTCAGGTTGAGCGTAGTGAAGACTCTTATATAGGTCGCGATAATTTCTTTTTCAAGAATAAGTCTCGAAATTTGTTCATGCTCAATTTTGATTTTTCGGCGTTTGAATTTTGACTAGGCAAATTCCACTATCGAACAGCAAAGCTGTAAAGGTCAGGAAAAACGTATTTTATCTTTCAGATTTCCCCGCGGGATAAATTTTACCTATTTTTTTTATCCAGTTTTCTCAAATTGAGTTAAAATTATCAATAAAAGTTCTAAAATTATCAATATAAGTGTCAATCATAAATTGTTCTTGAAATTCAAACAGCTTTGAGGGCATATATTTTTTCTTTAAAATTCGAAAGTCTTTCAAAAAACAAGTCAATTGTTTTTTTTTGTTTCTTTGTGTTCATTGACTCTTTCCAACTGTCTGTTGCCTATGTTTACTTTGTTTGCGAATTGCAAGTTTGCAGTTGTGTAGAATGATAGTTTTGATACACGGTAGGGGCTTTAAATATCAAAACTGGTTCAAATGAGCGTTCAAACCGTTTGAATCATTTATCGAGCGAATTACATGGGCTAATAGTTCGCTTATGTGTCTGACAAATTTCAATCATTTCATATCTTGATGTGGTATTTGTACAGTGCAATAGCAATCTATCGCAAACTAAGAGCTATCAGTCAATCGAGTCACAACCTCTGCAACCTTTTCTGGGCCACAGTTAAGTCACTGCTCCCATCCAAAACTTAATTGCTTTCTTCTGGGCGCGCGTATCTAGAACTTCTAAGTAGGCAATGGCGTTAAGAGTAATTCTGATTCTGAGCGTCGAGTTCAAAAATTCTATTCTTAAGCTCCTGGCACAAAACTCAAATATTAATCATCCAATTAGCATCTACGCAACCGGAAACTTAGAAGCAAAGTTCGATGAACAGAAGGTTCTTCTCAAGTTGTTCAGCTCGGAGAATGAAGCTCTGGAAAACTTCAAATTGGATCAAAACTATGTGACACATCCTAGTACGTGTATAGCTTTCGGAATTTCTCGACATCAAGCTAAAAGTTTGAACTGCGAGTTTGTTACGACTTCAATTCCAACTTGCCTTGTCCTAGAAAACGCAGATTTCCATAGTTGCAGCGAATTAATGGCTAAATATCTTCGTGGACTTTCGCAGCAGCTTGAAGAATTCTCGCCTCTGAATGTTGTTGTTATGGAATCGTATGAAGATCAGTTCTTGGAGAGCTTAGAAAACCATTTGTCGAAAAGTGCTCTACACACCAAGTGTTCAAGCACCATACAATACGATGGAGTGAAAAGCTCCCTTTCGGATTTTAAAGGTGTTTTGATTGTTAGAAACTCCCATTTGAAAAGCAGTTTAATCGTCAAAGAGAAAAATTTGTTTCAAATTGTCAATATAATCAGTGCTAGAACGGTAGCTGAGGCCATAACTATGGCCAAAAACATGCCATGCAAAAGGGATTTGTTTCTATGGACTGAATCGGTGTCTTTGATATTCTCTGTTTGGAACAATCTGCCGTTCTCTAATGCAATTGTCAACAGTTTCGAATCAATGAGAACAGACTCAAATACGAATAACTTTGTAAGAGACAAAATTGAAAATTTGGTCAGCCCAGTACAGCAAACGGCGATGAAATTTCTGTACAAATTAGCATTGAAGTCAGCGGCAAAATCAATGAGCTCAGGAAACTTGTCGGAAAAGCTGTTCGACAAAAATCTGATAGACTTGCCGAATAGACTTTTGAATTGGTGCGATTTACAACCTAATTATTACATTCTGTCAAAAATTGTGCCGGAAGAAAAGCTAAATGTAATGATAGTTTTGAACGAGGCTTCTGATCTTGACTACGTTTTGCTGGCTTCAGTTGCGTGCAAATGGCAAAGTGTCTTTATCGCTTCTCGCGACCAAATGATAAGGGAGAACGAATTTATCGACAAGCAACAAATTCAGTTGACGGAATTCGATGACGTAATCAGAAATTGTGATGTAATATTTTCGTCGGATGGATTGGCACCCGTGAGTTTGAAAAAAAGCGTGAAGTGTATCGGTGACATGAGGGGACTGAAACTGGCCAAAGTGTTGGCCAAGGAAACTGGTTTGATGAAACACATAGAAGTTTCCACGTCTTATGTATCTTGCTAAAAGATATTGTCAAATAAATGTGATATTAAGATAGTGAATACATTTTTTATTGCTCATGTTTTAATCCGATATGAATGTGGTTACTGTTAAATGAGAAGAAGGTACAAGTGCGATAGTTGGGTCCCAAGAAAAAGCAAGTATGAAAGAGGGGTCTCGCAATTTTTGTGAAAATTTCAAAAACAAGTATACAAACAAATGCGAACTGTATTTCATGTTTTTAAACAAATGCGAACCATGTTTTCGAAGATTTTAAGCCTAAAAATGCTCCTTCTAAAATCTAAATTCAAGGGACCCAACTATCATTCTTCTACCGAGAAGAATAGAAAGGGCGAGTTTGTTGGCTTCTGTATCGGCGTCGATTTGTAAAAGATAATTTTTAACCGTTGATATGCTAGTAGTTAAACTTTTTCAACCGAAAGTTTCGACTCTTTCGATAAAAACCTAGTGTTTGTGAATTTTTCAAATTTGATAGGCTAACTTATCTGGGTGAAAATAATAGTAACAGTCGCATGCTACCAACAATCGGTGTCGATTTGTAAAAGATAAATTTTAACCGTTGATATGCTAGTAGTTAAACTTTTTCAACCGAAAATTCGACTCTTTCGATAAAAACCTAGTGTCTGTGAATTTTTCAAATTTGATAGGCTAACTTATCTGGGTGAAAATAATAGTAACAGTCGCATGCTACCAACAATCGCAGACACAAATGCTAAACGCTATGCTACGATTTCCGTCTTGTCGGCTTTAAATTTCCACCGGATGGGAGAGTGCAATTACAAGTACCTTTACTATAGTCGAGCACTGGTCATAATTGTCTCTTTCTTCTTAAATATTTCTTGACCTTGATAGCATAAATTAATATGCGATCCAAATTGTTCAATTTTTAAAATTAAATTGCGATCAATTTTTAATTAATATGCGCTCGAGCTGTATTTAAAACTGTTTTAAAAATGAATCAAGGAAACTTTTAGAGCTTGACAGTTCTTGGCTTTTAACTTTTATCTTACCCTTTGAAAACTTGAAATCAGCGAAACCTGAAGCTTTAAACTCTGGAAATACCAAGTAAGGAGAGATCATTTTGCCCTCGATTTTTGTCATTTCCGTTTTAACACTATTAAAAGTGGAGAATATAATTTTAAATTAAATTTAAAAGTACTGCTGTTTAATTCGAATATTTTCTTCGGTTAGTTGACAGTTTCTTTCAAGTGCAATTGGGAACCTCGAATCGACCGCGTGTTTGCCAAGTAATGAATCGCGAGCAAGTGAGGTGGAAGTTAATTGGACAACTTGTGATTTCGAATCTGCTTTGAAAGCTGACAACAACCCGGAATGCGGTTTGGAACCGGAGCTGGGAACCCAGACTAAATTACAAGAGCGGCCGAGGTATGTTTTTGGGGAGAAGTGAGTTGTTTTGGAAACAATCGCCACGTGAGGTTCGCTTATCTACTCGACCCTTTTCCCTCTAATTGGACCCGCGCGGCACAATTAGTGCCCGGCGTTGCTCTCACTCCGTAGGTGTTTTGCCAAGTGGGTTGTAGTTTAGAAGCAGCGCAGAAGTTTCGAATGAGACTTGAGTTTTACAACAGTGAGTTTACTATCGAGCGTCTTTGGCTTACAAAGTAGTTGGCTCCTTCTTGTGTTTTTCAACATTCTAATTCTTGTTTTTTGAGAGAAAGAAACAAAACAATGACTAGTTCCTACTCCACGGCGAACAAGCAGGTATTACCATGTTTAATAACTAGCATTGTTGTCTGTCTGTGATAAGCATGTAATTTTAGTTTTAGTTTATTTCCACTTAGGTACTTTGACTTTTAACAAGGATCCGCATCTGTTTTCAATGGTCAAAATAATGTCTAAAACACTGTTAGCAATTAGCCAAGTCGCGACTTTAATTTAACTAACAATGTTTCCGTCTCGTTGCGCCAGAGACCAAATCTCATAACTAATATCAGTTATCAGTTTTATTTATTACAGAGTCTAGCTAATATTTCGTCTGGGGAGCGCCTGGTCGATCCGCGACACCCAGAAAATGGATCGGATGCCTTGGACCGGAGTAAACATCTTCAGAACCCTCATGTCATCAATAGTTCGAATCCTTACCCTCTTCATGGTTCATCGAAACACACCTATCATCAACTCACAGGGGGCCATACGCAACCACCTCAAGCGCCCGGGTTGACCCCCTATCATTACATTCACAACCCCCAACTTGAGTTAGACTTGCAATCTGCTGCGGGGTTTGACTATGGCGCCGCCTTCGGGAACCCTTTCGAGTCCCAATCGGCTATGCATTACCTACCAGATTCGCAGTTTGTCGGCTATCGTCCTGCTGACGCCTACGCTCTCGGTTTTGAATCGCAACTTCACAATTCCTTCGGCCCAAATGGGAACTCAAAAACTGCGGCTACCCCTCAGTATAGTTACGGGAGTCATGCGAGCAGGTATGGCAACCAGAGTTATCCACCTAGCCAACAGTATCCAGACACACAATTGTTGCAACCGACCTTCGCCCACCCTTCTGAAAACATGAACCCTTCTCGGACGGTCGCTGACTCAAAAGTCGGCTCTCGGAACCCACAGGTACTCTTGCTTTTTTATTTCTTATTTTTTGTTTTCCGCTTATTACCTGACCTGAATGAGACTACCAAGCTTAAAGCGATATTTGAACTTCGTGACTACACGACGCGAATAGAAGTTGCTGATTCAGATGTTTTTACAGATGGCAGAAGTTTCAAGATTTTTTTTATTGACGCATGTAATAAAATGAGAAACAGTTGTGCCTTTTACGCGCTGCAGTACTTTAATCAAGGATCGAAGATATATGGGGTGGTTGGACCCTTTTCAGATTGAAAAAAAAACATTTTTCATTGCAAAACCAGGGAACAGATTTATCGTATGGGCTGAGAAGGAAATTTTTGCTCTTCTGATCAGTTCTGATTACAAACAGGAGCGGATCTAGGATTTTCTCGATGGGAGACTTTTAAAAAATCGAAGTTGCGTTTTTTCGGAGCTCGTTCCCCCTCAAAGTTAGTCTATTTTGGCGCGAAAGGGGCCTTAAGAAAAAATAGTACAAAGGGGAGACCTTTTGGGTCGGCAGGGGGTCGAATCCTTGAGGGAAAGGGGGGAAGGGCGTCCGCCTCCCTCCCTCCCGGAAATCCGCTGGTGATTACAATTATGGCAAAAAACGAGCCCAGCTATTTAATGCGTAAAAGTTAACAGAGAATCGACGGTTCGGATTGAGAGGTAAAACTTTCAATTTTTATCAGCAAATAAGTTAATTTTGGAGTAACAAACGTATCAAACGCTGAAATTTTGCTTACTTGGTTTCTCCTGGCGTGATAGCAGAACGTACGAAATCATACCACTCATCAATCACTCTCAATCAAACCTAATCTAGTGAGTCATATGCGCAGCATAAGTTATTTCCTCATAAATGAATTCTCACATTATAATAGACTGTTCTTAAGAGTCTCGTTGTTAGGCGTCAGAGGTCTAGCGGAAATTTAATGCCTGCTAAACGACAGGTTGTGAGATGAGTTCGGTTTTGCAGTGTGGGAAGCTGTGTTGGGCTTCATTGTTTATAGAAATAGGCCTCATTATAGAGCTCCCTTTTTGCTGTCCTTGGCCTGTTTTTTCAAAGCAATGCCATGTGGCTCTTGCTACTTTTCTAACTGTTTTTTTTTCTTCTATGAAACTTCATTCAGTTAATTATAGCGTAAAGAAAACTCACGTTGTTGGACTATTATTAATAAGTTGTTTTCTAATTTGTCGTCTTTTTAACATCTCTCAAATGTTCACATATACAGTGCTGATTTAAATTAACCGGACAAAACGCGTTAAACTTGAAATTTAAAACGCGTTTTTCTCAAATTGGGTTGAGTTTAGGTGAAAACTTATGAAGACAAAACTTGCTTAAAATGTTAGCAGAATTAATATGGTGTAATTTGTTTTGCAAAATTCGGGCCCAAAATTTTACCCCAAAAATGGGTCATTTTGGCTTTTCTTAGTTAATAAACAATTACGCCAAAAATAACAAGTCGATCACAGACATAATTATATCAAAGTGAGCCCCTTACGTAGCCCAACAAACGGGATTTAAGAAGTGTATTTTCCCCAAAACATTGTATAAATTAATTTATTTTTGTTTGATAGACAAAAAAGGTCGTTTTTACTAAATAAAATACCAACTTTTTATTTAAAAACAATTTTTAAACGGTTTGCAAATTCAAGTAACCAACTTTTTTTTGCCGAAACCGTTCTTCAACCACCTGCTGCAAGCTCGCCCAACTTTAGTCTGGTTAAAGCCAGCTTTTAAATATTTTTGACTTCTTCTGCTAGCCCTATCACTCAGCAAAAATTGATCAAAAAAATTTTCAGGTGTTATTAAAAAACATCCGTCAAAAACGCTTTGCTCAAAAGTCGAAAATCGACCAAATAATAAAACGCAAGTATTATTATTCCGCATTTTCTATAAAAGTCGAAACAATAAGGAAAAGAGGAAAACAGTCAATCGTCAAAACGTTTTCGAATTAACAAATTCATCATCCGTGTCTAAACGCATTCATTTAGTTAGCGGTGAAATTACCCAATGTGGTTGATTATCAAAGTTCTGCAAAATCATCGAATTCGTCATCATGGCTTTTTGGTTTCGATTCGCTGACCTGTTTTTTTTCAAAGATTTGATCCAAGCATGTTCAAAGCTATTCTCTTGAGTTTTGTCGAAAAAATTAAAATTGTCTTCTTTTTTTTAGGTTTGGGCAGAATTGTTGTTTGACTCGGATTAGATTACCCATAGTTTAGTTCCATACGTGCTAATAACTGTTGAATCTAAGAAAAAGCGTTGGTATGTAAATAATTAACGACATTGGTATGAAAATTCAGGTTGAAATATAGGAGCTTTTTACTAATTGCGCGTCCACCGCACCCCCCCCCTCGCACGCTGCTGGCACCTGCGTATCTTCTTGTGTTGTATCTGTTTTTTTTCCGGAGCTTTCGAGGTTAGCTGATCTCTTTATGCATAAAAACTTTCTTGTACTTCGTTTTTTTTCTCGTAAGATCTTCGCTTGTTAGGTTTTAGAACTAGATGAACGTTTTATAATTTAAATGTAAATAGTTAATATTATGATAATATTATGTTAATTTAAATCGATCAAATTGATTTCCTGAAATTTGATAAGCTTTAGGTTATGTATTGTAATTTTATGACTTCCAAAGATTGAAAACACAATAAATTGTCATTACTTTTCTGTTACCCTTGTTCATTACTTTTCAGTTGTCTGATGGCGATGTTTTTTAATTTCAGGATTGCAACAGTAATATTGTTTCCACCAGTCCATCCAGGGGTCATGTTATGACTCATCAGGAATACCAGCAGCCAGGAGCGGGCGACCCTGGATTCAACATGCAACTGTGTGCCCCACAGAACCCTTTTATGTTTGCACCTTTTCACCCCACCTCCTACCCTTCTCAGAACGAACGCCTTACGGTTGGACCGACAGAAATGTCGTCGAATTCTCAGGCACCGAACGCGACTGGTAGTCTTGGTTCAGCGGTTGCAACGTCGGGATCTACGAGCAGCATGCGCCGGAAAAATGCGTCACGTGAAACGACAGCTGCGCTGAAAACCTGGCTATTTGAACACAGAAAAAATCCATACCCAACGAAAGGGGAGAAAATCATGTTAGCCATCATCACCAAAATGAGCGTGAGTTGGAAGCAAAAAATATCAAAGAATGCTCTTTTGCGGACTGCTTTTGTTAACAAATGATTTAATAGTAGCTTTTAACGCATTTTATTGAAAGCGGCTCTAATATCGAAAGTATTGTTTGTTCAATTGAAATAAGCTAAAGCAGAAAAATTTCAACCGGCCCTCCCATTTTGTGGCAGTGATTAGTTTAACTGCATGCAGGGTTGAAAAACATTTCATACTTGAAATTTTTCAGCTGACACAGATTTCCACGTGGTTCGCTAATGCCAGAAGACGACTCAAGAAAGAGAATAAAATGACATGGACTCCCAAGAATAAAACAAACAACAACAGTCAGAGTCACAAAGAAAACAAACTTAATCACACTGCTGCGACAGATAACATAGAAGCTACCAAATTGTCAACGGGCGAAATATTGGAGAATGAAGCAGATGTCACATTCGATTCGCTGGACTCAGAATTAAAACTGGAAAACTAAGAATATATTTCGACGTGATTCAAAAAGAATAACTTATGTTTTAGATAATTTAGATTGTAATTTAATTTAATGAATGTACAATGATTCCCGGGTGGTTTGAAAAGCATATAATTTAATTTCAGGAGCGAAACTTTTTTGATTTTTGTACCGTTTCTATAGGGTGCGGGGCAGTAATTTTAAGTTTTTCGAGATCTGCCGACTCATCAATTTTGGGAGAACATGCCCATTTCTGAGAGTTTTTGGAGGGTTTTGATCAATAAATTGTGTCAGCTTGTGCCCTCTTCAAATAACGCGATATTAATGGGGCTCAATTTTTGGTTTTTCAAAATGAGGAAAGAATTTCAGATCATTGAGTTGATGAAGTACTTGGCTATTTGATGGATACTTACATACAATCTCTCTGTGTTGATTACACTTGCGTCAGCATATTGTATTATTAAGAACCTTCTTTTTTGTCTAACCTAAGTAGCAAATATTGGTGCAACTTTTGGGGCACTTCTACAGCTTTTTGATAGCATGTGGTTTGACATTCGAATAGTAATAGTAACACAGTTGATGCATTTTAAATTCATCAAACGAACCGAAAAAAGCTATTTGTTTCAAACAACATAACAATCATAAAAACTTGATTTCAAGTTTTCTAACTCAACATCTTGCAATTTTTGAAATTCATAATTTATAAATAGTGTGGCTTATGCTTTCCAATTTATCACATGCAAAATTAGTGTGGATACCTTTAGTTTGTTTTATTCCAAACTATTACTTTTTGCTGCATTTTGGCAAATTATTAGCATATGTAGCTGCTTTATGTGAGACTAGTGTTTACCGATTGTTAAGCGTTCATGGCCGATAGGGCAGGGCATGAGAACCCAGTTCTCGAGATCGCAGATTCGAAGCCTGTGAGTAGCAAAGTTTTACTTATTCGATGCCTATTTCACTTTTTCCTTATTTCTTCTTATAAAGCTACTTTTTTGTCGTTTTCTCGTAAGTTTTTGGTGAACCACAGCCTCGCCTCTGAGTTACACTTGCAAAAGCAAGTGTATGTAATCGGGAACTAAACTTTTCCCAAAAGCAACTTTTTCTACACATTCAACTTGCTTTATTATTGAATTTCAGCAATTTGAGGTTTCTTCGCACTTGCGCTAGAGGAAGCGTCGTTGTTTTTGCACTCCAAAGTCCGGGGAGTTCCGGTCGGATCTTTTTTCAGTAAGTATGCAATTGAAAATTTTTCGATGGTTAAAATTGATCGTCGGACTTTCGTTTATTTGCTCAAGTTTTGTCGGCTTAGTTGCTAAATCACGGATTTTTTGTTCTGTAAGCTAGTATCATAGGAATTGCAAGTAGTGTTCATTGTCGCGGGTGTGCTGGAAACTTTCAAAACCTTTTCATAAAACTGTTTTTTTTTCTGGCTCAACTGGTGTCTGATCGGTCGCTAATTTAAATTTCAAATGTCCTGCTAGCGCCAGCCATGTTTGCCTAGAGTTGTGGAATTGAGTTTTTTTTGGTATTTTATTTTGAGATGCTTCAAAAATAGTCTTTTTCTACCAATTTTTTTTTAGTTTTTCTCAAAACTATTCTACCGAAAAAAAGTATTAATGGAAAGACAGCCGCCTACTTCACTGTCTACTTGAATACTCTCCTAGTCTCTTTTTACTTCCTCCTCTGTCCACAGCCTTCGAAAAAATCGATTTGGGGAGAAATGTTTGACCCATATTTTCGAAAACTAACCACCAAATCTAAGATTATGGGCTCAATAAAAAGGAAGGATTGAAAAGCCTTCCTGCCTAAGCGGCTGCGTCCTCATTGTTTCTACACATAAACTTTTAACCCTCGAAATAGTCAAAACTATCTCTCATATCTGAGTTTTCGGGTTCAATCGAATTTCCAGGTTGCGTGCATTTCTTCTGCGTAAGTATCCAAACTTTCAATTTTTTATTAGCAAAAAGCTACAATTCTAGTAAATGCTTCTTGTTTATTGACTGTTTCTTCTCGAACCTTTCTCGATGACTATCCTGCTAAACCTGATATCTTAGTTTTAATCGGAACAATAGATTGTTGAAAACTTTTGTTTTTAACCCGAAAACTATCGTGCAGTTTTTGAGGTTAACTGTTCAATCAAGATAGCCAGTTTTGGGAATACTTCTAGTTTAGCGGCTTCGACAGTTTTTTGCTAAAAATGAGGATTTTGGAAATTAATTTTTTTGATTTTTTGACCGTTTTTCAGCAAGCTTTTGAGTTTCATTAAAAACTGCTCTATTAAATCTGAGATACAAAATTTAATCGAAAAAAAAACTTGTTGCGAGAAGGTTTCTTAAAGAAACGGCGACTCCTTATTTTTTTGTTTAAAAAATCCATCATTTCAAAAACTCACTCTTCACACTGATTTCAGTAAATAAACAACTGAGGCCTTTTTATCACGCATCGCTATAACAAATTCAAAAATATCAAACAGGTACCTCCAGCTTCAGCCGGGCCCTTAATTTTATTTTGTCGAAACATACTAATAACTTATTTCATCTGGTTGTATCTCAAGTGGCGAGTAGCTCCGCTTTGCCTCTGTGTAGCTTGTTTTTTTTTGTGAAAACTTAAGGCTGAATAACTGATCAAAGTTTTTGCTGCCACCAATTGTCACCTAAAACGAATTGTAGTTTTTTTGTAAATGCTATCGGTTGTCGCTTGTGACAAGTTGTTGTCTCAATAGAGAAACGGGTAATATAGTGTTCATGTTTTTCGACGATGTAAATGACTAATTTTATCTACACATGAATTTCAATAATTCAAAAAGCATAGAAAAAAATAGCAATTGACAATGCCTCAAAACATAAGTAGCACAGAAAATAGATGGGAAAAAGTCGTTAAAATAATCAAAATTAAAAAAAAATTAAATGTTAAAAAAGTATCACGCCTGTTTTTCAGGTAACGAAATTATGTGGGGAAAAACTAAAAGGCTTTGCAATAATTCCTTCCCACTGTGATTAGCGTGCGCAAAATTTTTCCGAGGAATGGTGCATATTGTTAATAAGACAAAACTGATTTTTTATCTCTGGGGTAAATTTTTGAAAAAAGGTTTCAAATTAAATTTTTAGGAAACTTTTTGGATTTTTTTGAGAAATTTGCTTGCTCAGAATTCATCTATGATTCAAAAAACATAGCTAGTCGGCAAATTTAAACCAACCAGTGGTAAACCACTCTTTTTAGACATAAAAAGCGTTTTAATTTAAAAAAAAATCGATCCAACGAAAAACATCGGGTTTTTTTCATTGACCGAGAAATATGTAAAGCTTCTCCATCGTTTTTTGTTCCTGAATTTTGGTTAATTTTAAACAGTTATAGATGATAAGGCATCACATGTCAATGATCCGAGCATTACGAGACCAAACTGTGCACTGGGTAGGAGCACAAATTTGTGTCTGAATGTTCCTGGATTCCAGAGACAAGTTTTGAAATATGGTCCAAAATGTAAGTGGATTCCACAAACAAAATTTCAGTGGATTCCGCATACATATACCTGTAAAGTAAGTTTTCTCGGCACATTTATTTTGTTGCGGATTCCGCAACAAGCAAATATAGCTAGTTGTTCTGGATTCCGCAACTGCAAGTGGATTCCGCAAAATGTAAGTTGAATCCGCAAATGTAAGTGGAATCCGCAAAATTTGTTTGCGGAATCCGCAAACGTAAGCGGATTCCACAAATTGTAAGTGCATTCCGCATTTTTGTTTATTACTGAACTTGCATATGAACAATTAAAAGCTAGAGGCTGAATATTTGATTTATTATCTATAGGAATGCGCAATTTGAACGCAAAAGGACTTATCCATTTGTCAGCGGAATCCACAAACGAATCTTAAAACATTGGTTAACTATGCGGATGTCAAATTTTTCGTTTTGGTTCGAAATGGGTTTGAAATGGCTGCTCAGGGTTTAAAATGGCAGTTCATGTTTGAAATGGGGGCAGTTAAGTCACTCATCAGTGTTTGAGATGAGATGGTTCAGTTATGCATAAGAAATCATCATCAGTATTTGAGATAAGATTGTTCAGTTTGAAATGAGAGCTAAATTACTCATCAGTATTTGAGTTGAGATGGTTCAGAAATTATCATCGCACTCATCAGTATTTGAGTTGAGATGGTTCAGTTGGTTCAGAAGATATCATCGCACTCATCAGCTTTTGAGACGAGACAAAGGACGGTTCGATTGTTTTTTTTTGAAAAATGAACTGAAATGTCCTCTGAAAACTGGATTAAACATCCTCGTTTAATTAAAACTGACACAAAAAAACTTATACAAGCGGCAACTAAAAAATACAGTACGAAAAGTAAAATATTGTTCTTAAGATTGTTTGAGCAATTGGATCAATTTTTCTGTTCTTTCTGAATCCTCTTGCTCGAAATCTCCACTTTCGACAAAGCGTCTGTGTTGTCTCAATAGCTCATTATGGTTTTCATAGTCTGGTATTTTTGTTGAAATATTTGTCTCCTCGGCTGTTTTTGCTGTTTCTGAATCCTTTCACTCGAAAACTCCCTCCTCGACACAGCGTCTTCATTGTCTTAATGGCTCATTATGGTACTCGTAGTCTGGTGTGTTTGTTGAAATTTTCTCCAGATAAAGTTTGCGTTTACCTCTCTCATTGAATTTAATTTTCTCTTTCCACAACTCTGTACTCGAAACGTTTGACGTGTTTGGATTATGATGTTTGAGCGTATTTAAATTAAAAGCTTTCACAGAGTCAAGTGGAGTATTTTTATCCGGACAAACGAAAGGTGTAATGCATTCGAACTGCAGACTCGAAAGGAAATCAATTATTTCGTAAGCTGAAGAGTGCAAAGAATAACAGTACCGAATGGTTCTCTCAGACACTGTTTTAACCAATCTCCCAGGCATTATCTCGTTTTAGAATGATTTTAAGCACTTCTGGACATGGGATGCCCGGCTTGCAAGGCAATTTTAAGTTCGCAGACGCAGACGACGGCTTGCACAAATGGTTTTTGGTACTTTATCATCTGAGGTGAGCCAATTTTTGGGTTACGGTGAAATTATTGGAATTAATTGTTGTTTGATACATCTGAGTAAATTCGAAAGTAAGTCGTTAATTCGGGATGATTTAGTTCGCGTAATTCATTT